GGGACGTACGTTCTCGCGGTTCCAGCGTACAGCGTCACGACGCTGCGGATCGGTTGCGAGGGAGGTCTGGTGGCGGTCGAGTACGTGCCTCCTCCTGCAGCGACCATGAGCGCCATGGCACCGGGAGCCGTCGCCACGACCACGTGGAACGGAACGACCCCGAACGTGAACAATCCGACGGCTGTCCAGGACGCCGAGGAGACCCCGCAGAGGGTCGGAGCGCTGGTCGGGATAGGGATAGCTGCGATCGCGGTCGCATTGGCCACCGGATTGGCCGTCTTCGCTTTCTGGCGGAGAGGAACGGCGAAGCAACGACCGATGGCTGCCACGCATGCCCATCCTTACGCTAACGGCAACGTGTATCTCGGAAAGCAGGCTGGGGAGATGGTTTAGGCTGTGCCGTGCGCCTTGTGGATAGCGAGAGGATCCTAGCTCTGTACTTTTTTGTTTCGAGTCTTTTTGTTACACGTTCCATGTATAGTCCAAAGTGGTCACAATGTAGATATCATGTATTTTCACTTCGTATGATGATCTCAAGCGACCAAAAAGAGTAGAGTCAGACTCCAACCATCACCACATTACCTGTGACGCTTGGAAGATGATGACCCATCAGTTAGGAGCACGTGTCTACAATGATAATTCAGCGCCCAGTGCTTTTGTACGTCACGGGATGTCAGTCCCGCAGACGCCATCACGCGGGTCATCATCGTCCTCCCAGCGCGTCCCGACAAGGGGTTTGCGATGCGATTGAAGCTTGTTCATGCAACAGGAACAAGGTCCAAACGAGCAATGAGAATCCTGCAAGAAGCCAACGCAAAAGCAGGGTCAGCATGATGCAAAAGATCCGGGGCGATGACAGTCGTTTTGTTGAGCAGGAAAGGGGTACGCAAGACGCCGCCCGGTTATCCGTCGTCGTGTTCAGAGACTCGATTATCCTCCATGCGGTCTTTAACCGTCAGAGACTCTAGTTTGTATTTTCTTGTCGATGTTCATCTTTACGAAGACGGACCCGGGGCCTTCCAAGTGACTCTCCGTTGGCAACCGGGAGAGGTGGGTGAAAGGGACTAACCTTATCGGGAGACTTGAGGGACTGGTCAAGATCCGTGCGTGGGAAGATGCAGGAAGAGAGGAAGAAGAAAAATACGGCCAGATTTTATACTTGACCAGAAAGGGGCGCAGCAATTAATTCCCCGTTCGGTTGCGGCAACAGCAGCAGCAGCAAATGTCATTCCCGTTCTGTCCCACGGAAATTCTGAGCGATACACAGTAGAAAACGGGTCTACTACTAGATCAGCCCTTCGTCGACATCCGTGTTGAAATAATAGATCCCCAGGTTGTTCTTCAGGGCGATCTGGATCAAACTTGACGGGTTGGTAGCTTGTACTTGTCCCGAAGTAGAGAGAGGGAGGTGCACGTCGATTGATTGTCCCGGAGCCAGAGGTTCGGGAACTTGGAGCGCCGATGCGGGGACGATGCCATGTCTGCGCGGAAATGTGGATTGTCAATATGTGCGCTTTCATCGGACACGTTGACAAGAAGCAAAAATGCCGTCCAACACATACGAGTTCAGGTTGAATTGAATGGCGAAGCCAGTCATGGGAGTGCTCGAGCGATTCGCAAAGTTCAGCTCGAGGGTCAACTGACCGTGTCGTTTGCTGAATGCGCCCTGGAACACCGATTTCCCACGTCAGCACGACGCTCAAAAATTCAGCGCGGTGGCTGTTGGGTGGCTTTTGCGTGTGCTCACCTGAAGGTCTAACCCTTGCGCGTTCGCGCTGGTCAGCAGCGATGTTTTGGGCGGACTGACGTGAGCCGGCCCGCTGTCAAATCCGCCCATGCCGAACGAGGGAGTAGAGCTGGGCGACAGGTCGCTCATGCCCAATAGGTCGTCGATGTTGGAAGCAGCCCTCGCAGTGATGGGCGTCTGGGTGGCTGACGTGATCGGATAGGAAGAGTCGCCTCCTCCGAAATCCAAGTCGAGAAGATTTTCGATGCCGCCCCCGACGACAGCGTTGACTTGCGCGGCAACGGTCCGTGCGTCAACTTCGGGTTCGTCACCTTCTTGGTAGCCGCTGTAAGGAAAAAATGGACTATGAGTTTTTTCAATCCTCGACCAGAAAACGGAACGTTGCCCTTGCAAACGTACGTTTCCCGGGTTCGCGAGATCTCCATGGTCGAACCGCCGAGAAGTGATGGCGCCTTGTGGTATACGGATGCAAGACTGCCGATATTGTGAATCAGCTCGTCCAGAAGTGTCTCGCTAACGGTGTTTGCATCGGACTCGATCGGTGGTTTTTCGGCGAGGATCACTGCCTGGTATCTCCGGAGTCAGTTCGGCGCGTGATAACATACAAATAACTCCACCAACCTTTGCGGCTTGTGGGTTGCTAGAAAGGAGACGCCAATATATGTATGCCCTGTCCCTGATATCGGGATTGTCGCAGCCCTGCGTGGCGGTTGTCAAAACGCGTTGTACAATATCCTGTGCTGCACCTGGTCGCTTCAGGAGCAGCTTCACGGATGCTGAAATCAGCTGAAGTTGAACCTAGTAGAAAACGGTATTAGCAATTCGCGTCTGCAAATCATCTCGCGAAGTCAGACAGGAAAACTAACAGTAGAAGCCTCGTCCTTGAAATTCTCTAAAAAGTACTCGAGAAGTTCGGTCGCATTATCTATCCGATCCGCATAGTCGCCAATGATCCAGATAAGCGAGGCCTTCGCTTCGGGCTCATCCAGGTTCTCCAAGTTTTCGCACAGAGCGGGGATAATGCCCTCGTAGCGGTTCGGGTATTTTCGGAAAATATCCTGTAGACACGGCTGCGTGAGCGCAGGGTGCTATGGTCCGAAAAAAGTGGGGCAGACGTACCTTGATGACAATGATAGCTTCCTGAACCACATGGTTCACGCGCGTTTTGAGCAGGTCCAATAGAGCATTGACGCAGCGTTCCGAGGCTGAGTCGATCTTAACGGCGCAGCGACCGATGGCACGAACAGACTTGCGAACAAAATCAACGTCTACTTCGTTGCAGTATCTTTTTGAGGAGCCCAAGAAATCAGTTTTGGGCGGTCCACGGATCACGAAGAACGCGGAGCTCACGACTCACTCTCGCAGCTCTGAGAGGACCTGATCCACGTTTTTGTCGGAGCAGAGCTTGATGATGACCTCAAGCTTCTCCAGTTTCACGTATGGAGGGTCATTGTATTTGATAAAAAAAACCCGGATCTCCTGGTTGAGTACGTCTGATCGCTTCTGCAGGATGAGGTTGATATTGCGGAGTGCCACATATTGGATCTCGGGTTCTGAGGATAGCAGAGACACTACGGAGGGAAGCTGTGAGCGAGATATTCGGAATCCCACCAAGCCACCACAAAACTTGCTGTACCTAATGGGGGAGTCATCTTCTTGTTTATCTGCTTCGACAGCTCCTCGTCGTTGATAAAGTCGATGTAAATCATAAGGACCTGTGTAGGTGCATCAGTCAAGAACTGACTCCTAGCTGTCGGAAGTACGATCCTACCCGGACGGCGGTCAAGACCACACTGGCGTTGGCGTGTTGAAGACGAGGCAGGACGCGCTCGGCGATGTCACCGGCCTCCCGCGCGTCATTTGGCCGGTAGCTGGCCAGAGAGTTCAAAATGCAGATCTGCCCCCATCTGAAACGCAGCAGCTTCAGAAAGTGTGCGCCAAGAACGGAAATCGATAGAAGCGTCTTACTCGGTACACTCATTCAATGCGGCAAGCAGCTTCGTCAGGATGCTGCCATTGATGATGAAAGCCTCCCGCTTTACCGATGCTTCGCTGATCTCGGTCAGAGCCGCGACTGCATTTGCAATGACCTGAGCAGAGACTCAGCATGGCAAATTCCATGTCTCCAGCAGGTTCTGAGCGCACGCGCAACGCGCTCTCACCATGGGATTCCGGTCGGAGAGCATGTCCTGCACCATCGTGATCAATCCATTGTCGATGGCGATGATGGGATTGAGGTCGTAGAGCTTCGCCACACACAGCGTGGCTGTCTTCCGCACGTAAGGGTCGTCGTCCTACGGCCGTCGCGCAGAACGTCAGCCGAGCGGTCCCGAGGGCCCAACCGCCGGTTCCGCCTTCGGTTACCTGCAAACCCTTCTTGAGGGGCTCCAGCAGGTAATCCACAATCTTTTCCACCCTGAGCATTCCCATCGTTCGGATGGCCAAAGCTCTTATGAGGGGGTTGACGTCGTCGGTATCCTGAGCACACATGAATCCAACAGATACATAAGAGTCAGGGGATGATGCTTCTACGACGAGTCTCTCCTCTTTATCGTTCTTTTGCGTCAAACCTTGACGAACGTGTTGACTGCCAGGATGACCAGCTCGGGTTGTGTCCTGGCGTAGTTAATGAGGTAGAGGTAGACGAGCTTCTTGAGCTCGAGATCCTCCGTCTGCATGTTCTTCACGACGTCCGCAAAGAGGGAGCTGACGTCCTTGCCGATGGTCATGTTGGCAATGACCTTCTTGACAGTCTCCTTCCGCTTTTCCCTGTACTCGCTGTTCAGGTCTGCCTTGAGCTCAAAGTTCTCCCCTGAGAGTGAACACGCGCGAGGTCATCCGTAAGTCAAGCGTGTGGCAGGTCTCTCCTGCGGCCTCGCAAAGGCCTTGAACCCACCCTTCTTGGTGGTGGAGAAGAACTTTGGAGCCCTAGCTGCCGCTGCCATGTTTGCCAACTGAATCTCGCGAGGAAGGCGATGCTGATGAGTCTGGTAATGGGAAGGCTGAGCGTGGGAAAGGCGTCCACTATTGGTTGCAATGACCGGAGGAGGTGGAAAGCGGTCCCCAAGATGTGCCTGCCAACGTTGACGGAGGAACGTGGCGCAGGCGAACAAGCGGTGGAAGTATCTTGGGACACTTCACAAGCGCGGAGGGTGTGAGGTGACACAACGATACATGTACAGATTATCGACAGTACATCCCTTGACCAATACAATCCCTTTGAGTACGCAAAAAAAACCGGTCGGATATCGTTGTCCCGTTGGCGCAGCGGTTAGCGCTCCGTTCTTATAAGGGGACGTTCCCCATATGCCATGCGGTGGTCGCGGGTTCAAACCCCGCACGGGACACTCTGTATCAAGCTTTTGCTGAATTTATCCAAGAATAACTTATTCCCTTTTCTCGGCCCCGTCCTTTCTCCTGCCGTCCGGCGAACCTTGGTTCATTCCCCTACCGCGACGATGAGATAGATGCCTTGACCTGAAGGACACACCTGCGCCTGGTCGATGATGGGCGACACCAGGAGCGTGGGAAATGACGATCATAACCTTCGACCAGATCTCTTGTATTTGTATTGCTTTTTAATGTCATCTGGCCGTGTCATCCATCGCGACGGCAAAGGCTGGTATCATACAGCCGTGCTCCCTCTCTTTCTCTCTTGCACACACACACGAGAGACTACGAGAGAGCCTCAGAGAGGAAGGCGGATCCGACAGCTCTGTCCTTTGCCTCTGCCGAAAAAACGGGGAAGCGTCGTCGTCTCTCCCTTTGCTGTCCTGAGGCTCAAGCCCCAAATCTGCCAGAAACCCCACCCTTCCACATTTCCACAGCCCATAAACCCTTTCGGCATCCAGTAAGACTCTGGGCGCAATGGACAACGACAATACTCCTCTCCTATCCGACCTGCCGGGCAAGGCTCCATCGCTAACGCTAGATCTTCCACCTCAGTCCGGAGAGAACCCAGCAATGCCGCACCACCTCCGAATGCCTTCGCACAGCCTGGAAAATTACGGCGAGGAACTCACTCCTTCGCCTCAGAGAGCAGACACCGAGTCCCTCCCAGCAGACGACATGACAGCAGAGGAGCGAATGGAATTCGAAGCCCTCTTCTTCTCGGACCTTCCTCTCCCCACCGGGCCAGCTTCCGGTCCCATCCCACCTTTGGATGTTATTGATGCACAATCCAAGTCCGTGTCGAAACCTTCTTCGAACGGCCAAATATCACAGCCCGCCGGAATATATCCGTCGAATGCACTCCACAGTCCACCCGTGAAGGCCGTCGCTCCGTCAAAGTTCTACGGACCCATCGTCGAGCCTCGACAGACGCACCACGCACCGCTGCCCACACCGCCACCGGGCGGTCCGTCCGTGCCTCGCGGAACGTCCGACAGGAGATCTTCAAGGGACGAGCAGCATCATCAGCAGCAGGGATCCAAGAGCGGAACCCCTGGCTCTCAGACCGTAGGGTCCATCACCGCACCGACGTCGTCCAAACGACCCTCGTCCGCAATCGACGACGTCGCCGCACCTGCACCGAAAAAGTCCAAGAAGTCTCACAAGAAGAAGGTGGTCGTCGAGGCGGACGGGGAGAAGGCATCGCTACCGAAGCCGATCGTCAAACCAAAGGTCAAGTCCAAGAAGGTCGTCACAATCGTGCCGTCGCCCGCACCGGAGAAGTCTGTCCAAAGCACAGCGCAGACTTCTCCAGCCGATACCCCTGCTGGAAGTCCTGGTAAGTCCCTTGCGGATCCTGCGAATTCCGTTCTCGAGAGATCGTTCGGGGGGTTTTATTTTTTTCCATGTCCGCTGCCGATTCTTACCTGACATGTTTCTCATCGGCTTTGCAGGCAAGACTGGACATGTGCCCGGATCGAAGCGGGAGCGACGGAAAAAGGAGATGACCGAGCGACTTGAGCGCTTGGATCAGGACTTTGCGGACAATCGAGAGCGGTGAGTCAAGAAGTGGTACTGAATGCTTGGGTACCCATGCTCACGTTCTTTTTCATCTCCGTCTGTCAGGATATACGATTATCGGATGAGCGAGTTCCAAAGACACACTCGAAGAGTTCTGTCAGGTAGTGTATGGACTTATGTCGTTCGTCTGATCTTACGGTCACATGGACTCAATCTCTGTCATCCTCAGGTGATGACCAGGAGTTCCAAGACCTTACGTTGGTGCTGCAGCAGGATCGAAAAAGGGAGGTGCTGGACGCCCAACTTTTTCGCAACTATCAGCTGGAAGGTGTGGCGATACTATGTGGCGAAGAGTACGAGATCGCATGTAAAGACTTTGAGGTGAGCTAGCGACGTTGTTTTTTTTTCGTTCATTCAGCAACGAGATGCTTACATTCTCATGCCTTTTACGACAGACGAATCGAGAAGCAATGAAGCACCAAATGCTTGCCTACATCGAGGAGAAGAAACGAAAGATCCGGGACCTTCGCACGAACGTTGACATCATGGATCGTGAGTCACCTTCCCTGTCCTTTTTCATTTTCCGTGTTCTGTCACGCTCTCAAGTTTCTGACCGCTTGACCCACGTGTTCCCTTCTTTCTCACAGTGATAGCAGAAGTCAGCACGAAGGAACAGATGAGCAATCGGAAAGCCACTCGAGCGGCAGCTGCTGCCAAACTTCCGCACGACGAACCAAAAGAGTCGGGAAGACGAAGGATGAACAACAACAACCATCTTCCAGGGATCCACGTCCAGGTTCCCAACGACGTTGCAAACGCCGACCTCGCCCTCATCAGGAAAGCGAGAGGCACGCCGTATCATCGCAAGAAGCCATGATAGGCAAAAGCTTGGACGACGAAGCCTGGGACAAACCCCTGCTGGTCAAGGGTTTGCGACGAAACAAATATAATTCAGTTTTTGGAGAGGGGACGGGAGGGATAGGATCATGACAGGTAGCCGGGGAACAGTTGAGCATATAGACAGCACACCCAAAACACACAGACGAAACGCTTTTTTATCCTCCGTCCTACCGCTAGATGAAAAAGAAACGGTGGGGGTTGTGGAGGTGCGTGCTAAGATATATTTTTTTCTTGATGCAAGGACAAACACCATCGTACGCTGTTTCTTCACTCCTGCTTCTCCCTCTGAGCGCCTCCCTTCTTCCTCCTCTCCTTGTTGTACCGGGTGGAATCCCTCACGGCCGCCCTGGCCTTCTTCCACTTGTGCTTGTTCATCTTCTTTCTCCTCCTCTTCAGGATGCTGATGGCGTGCACGACCGTCTTCCTCTCGTCCCTTCGCAAACGTTGCCTTCTTCCCACGGTCGACGCTCGCATCACCGCGTCATCGTCCGGCTCCATGGTGGTCATCCTCTCGAACGCCTCCTCCGACCGGTCGGCATGGAACAGGGACTGCGGCGGGAGGGGTTGGTGCTGTCCGACCTGGTAAGCGGGACCCGAGTTGTCCACCATCTGCTTCATGGTCATCCCGCAGTTGGTCTCGGCCGACGCGTAAAACGCGGCGAGGACGTCCTCGTCGTCCGGAGTGATGGACGGCCGTCGGGACAGGATGGCGACGGCGGCTGCCTTCTTTTCCGTCTCGGTGGGTGGCGGTGATGGTGGGTGGAGTGTGGATGGAAGGGGCTTGTTGATGGATTTGTAGACGAGGTAGTCTGCGACGGTGGGTTTTGGATTGGAATTGGACGCGGTGCCGAGGTAGGAGTCGGATGAGGAGCCAGACATCGTGGATGGCATGACGGCCGGATCGATCGAGCTGAAGAGTTTGTGATGAGATGGTGGGAGGTGGGGAGTGAAGGTGTTGAAGATCTTTGCGTATTCGTCGTTGTACCGTGCTGTTGAGGCAGAAAGTGTCAGTGACCGACGGACACTTGTACACAAACCTCTTCTCCGAGGAAGATGCTGATGAAAGGCTTTACCAATGTCGGTGACATCCCTGTCAACGTCCCGCGCCCTCTTCTGCATGCTGGCCCTTGTCGCAGCCGTCAAGTCGTCCACGTTGACCAGCGGTCGGTGGGTGGCGAAGAAGGCCGAGAGAGCAAAGTCCCTGTCCTTTCGGTTCGCAATGAGGTGACTGAGGTTGAGTTTGCGTCGACTAATTGCCGGATCCTCGTGGAGCCCTGTGACGTTCACTTGAATGCCTCCCTTTCCTCCGCTCGTAAAGTGGCGGACCAGAAAGGGGGAGGTGGACGGGCTGAGACCAGGGACGGCGCGACATGCAGCGACGGCTCGTTGTCGGAACATGAAGAAGATGCTGGATAGACGAGCCTGGTATCTATCTGAGTGACACTTGACGGAGACGTCTGATGAGTTCTGTTCTCCAAACGACGGCGGAACGAGTCTAGGGAAATATAAGGCACTGTGCATGGGGTTAGGGTTGCTGCTGTGATGTGTGTGTGTGTGGTCTGTCCGATTCGGCTGGACATTGTGTCAATCCATTTCACACCCGAAAGGACATGTGTTCCCCATCTCCCACACACACACACAACACCGCCGGAAACATCCCACTACCTACCGTCTCACCATAGCCGTTATAGGCAGTTCTTGACATCGAGACAAGCAACGTCTTCCCCATCTCAGCATCCCCAGTTTCCCTCTTCTCTGCGTCTCTCCGTCGTCTCTGTCTTGTTCCCTTCGCGTTTTCCGCTGTGAGCGGTTCCTACGGTTTCTCCACCGAGCGACTCCTTCGGCGACCGCCGACCCTCTTCCTTCCGATCCCCGTGTGGTCAACACTGAGGCATCATGATGGCTGTGGAGGACAACTCTTCATCCACCGTTGCCACATCGTCAGCAAAGACGGCACCTTCTACCATCGTCGGCTCAAGAGTCTGCGTTAACTCACATTATGGTACCATTCGCTTTCACGGACCCGTCCCCCATGGCTCTCCGTCCCTCTGGTACGGCATCGAGTGGGATGATCCCTCCCGGGGAAAGCACTCGGGCACCCACGATGACGTCGTCTACTTTCACACCATCGTCCCAGGAAGCGCCTCGTTCCTTCGCGAGACCAAGGTTCCCCAGGATGCCTTCGGAGTCTCCTTCCTCGCCGCCCTCGAGTCAAAGTACCTGGCCGTCCAACCCGGCGACAGCGTCGTCCGCTTCGGAGGCGGAACCGGCGTGGAGGTCGAGACGGTCGGATGGGACAAGGTGGCCAAGAAGGTCGCGCAGCTGGGATCCCTGCGAGAGGTCGGGTTGGCGGAACGGATGGTCGCGGGGGGACGCAGGAGAGGGCAGACGGATCGAGGTGCAATCGCGAGGACGTGTCCCGAGATCGAGGATCTGGACCTGTCGAGGAACCTGCTGGGCTGGTGGAGGGACGTGGCCGACATCTGCGACGAGCTGGTCTCGTTGAGGTCACTACGGCTGGCTCACAATCGGTTCG